GGGGGCTTCCAACTCAAAAAAAAAAAAAAAAAAAAAAAAAAAAAAAAAAAAAAATAAAAATCTATGAGAAAACTGTTGTTCCAATTAAAAGTTCACAATTAGCCAGGCTTGGTGGCTCAGCCTGTAATCCCACGCCTTGGGAGGCTGAGGTGAGTGGATTACCTGAGCCCGCAGGTTCGAGACCCGCCTGGCAACTTGGTGAGACCTCATCTCTACAATAAATAATAATTTTTTAAAAATTAACTGGGCGTGGTAGCGCGCGCCTGTAATTCCAGCTATTCGGAAGGCTGAGGTGGAAGGATCGCCGGAGCCCAGCAGGTCGAGGCTGCGGTGGCCGGGAGTGGCCACTGCACTCCAATCTGGGTGACACAGTGAGACTCCAACTCAAAAAAAAAAAAAATAGTTCACAATTGTTTTCTTGACATCTGGTGATATTTAAAATATGAAATTAGTCTGAAGTTTGTCATTCCCTTCCCTTTATGTCTTTTTTTTTAATTGTAGTCTCACTCTGTCACCCAGGCTGGAGTGCAGTGGCATGCTTATGGACACCCCAGCGTCGACCTGCTGGGATCTAGTGATTCTTCCGCCTCAGCCTTCCAAGTAGCCGGAAGTGCAGGGTGTGCTACCACACCTGGCTATTTTTTATTTATTGTAGAGATGAGGTCTCGACAAGTTGCCTGGGACAGTCTTGAACTCGCGGGTTCAGGCAGTCCACTCGTCTTGGCTTCCCAATGCTGAGATTACAGGCTGAGCCATCGAACCTGGCCTTTTTTTTTTTTTTTTTTGAGTCATAGTCTCACTCTGTCACTCAGGCTAGACTGCAGTGATGCTCACAGCCACCGCAGCCTCGACCTGCTGGGCTCCAACGAGCCTTCCATCTCAGTCTTCCAAGGAGTTGGAAATACAGGGTCGCACCACCATGCCTGGCTATTTTTTTAATTTATTGTAGATACAAGGTCTCACCAAGTTGCCCAGGCTGGTCTTGAACCCCTGGGCTCAGGCAGTCCTCTTGCCTCCACCTCCCAAAGTGCTGGGATTACAGGCGTGAGCCACTGGGCCCGTCCTCCTTTACGTTTTACATTTGTCTATTTATCTCAACACAGTTATGTGACTAGCTCTTAACTTTTCACAAGCAAATTAGAAACCTTGATATTAAATGCCCAAATGAACATAGAACAAAATTCTGTACTATCTTGATATTAGGCCTCTGTCACTTAAAAATAGCTACTTTTAAATGTTTTTATTATTTTATTTACTTATTTTTAAGAGATTGGGTCTTGGCCATTGCTTTGTTAAATTGTGGTCTGAGCTATGGTCACCACATTTCCTAGCTGTGGTCCCTTTCCCTCCCCTCCCCTGGAGAGGTGAATCTCCTCTCTCTCTAATTTACTTTCTAAATAAACTATATTTTCCAATCTTAAAAAAAAAAAAACGAGATGCAGTCTTGCTGTGTTGCCCAGGCTGGAGTGCAGTGATGTAATCATAGCTCGGTGCAGCTTCAAACACTGAGCCCGGCCAAAAATCTTTATTTTAAAATTTTAAATCGTAGTAAGAAACAGCATGATATTTACATCTTAACTTTTTTTTTTTTTTTCCTGAGTTGCAGTCTCACTCTGTCATTCAGGGTGGAATGTAGTGGCACAATTACGGCTCACCACAGCCTCAACCTCCTGGGCTCAGATGATCCTCTGTCCTTCTATTATGGTACATATAGCACTCAGCTGCTCTCCCTTGATACCAGTAAATCAAGAGGCAGGGAACTGGTAAAAAGATTTATTTCTGAATTTGAATCCAGGAAGCAGAACCTAGCTCTTGACCTTTCTAAAATGGTTCTGCTCACTCTTCAAGTTTTACAGTCTGCTTTTATAAGTTCAGGATAGTTGGTACCTATACATTGACTACATGACTAGCAGAGCATTGTGTAGAACTTAAATCACAGCCACAATTTTGTCAATAATGATATTTATGGTCTGCATTTCCTGGGTACCTGTTACCAGTTACATCAGTAACACCCAGCAGAAACGTTAATTAAACTTGCCATAGAGTAAAGGACGTTAATAAGGCCTAAGACATCATATATTACTACATGTTGTTATATGCAAAAGTTATACAAATTACTTTGGTACTATATTATTCAAACCTGTGACTACTAAGAAATGGGAGTAAATGGGAATTTACATCTCTTA